ACTTTTGGGAAAATATTCTAGGAAATAAAGAGACAGAGTTTTAGAAGTGTGTGTCCTGCAAAATGTTCCTTTATTCCAACACCGGGTTTAGTCAGACACCGTGGTGAAGTGGTTATGTTCTGGGGCTTCTTTACTGCTTTAAAATTGTGAAATGATCTTTTCTCTACGGCAGGAAATCCTGAAGGACAAAATTTAGACATCAGTTTGTAATTTAATCAAAACCACACGGGTTACACAGCAGGACAGTGATCCAATTCAAAACCTCCTCTTAACGGCTCAATAAGGGAAATTTAAGGTTATAAATTTAAAGTAAATCCAATAGATTTGGCAAGACATCATAGTAAACAGGTCATTTGTGGATAAAAACTCCCTAATACGGGTGAAATTAATCAATGTAAAAACAGTATAAAAATGATGGACGTGATACAGTGTCATTTATCAAAGGAAACCTTAATGTTGTATCTAAAGGCATTACAACCACTTATTAGACTTTCACATATGGCACTTTTGTTTGGATCTTTTTTTTTTTACGTAGCCCATTCAAATCTGAATTTTAAACAGAATCTATTTATTTTTGTCTAATTAAATTTATTAGATTTTTTTAATCTATTAAGACATAATAGATAATATTACATAGACCACTCTAATAAACCATACATGTGAAGCAATGTGTGTAGATGCCCCCATTATGAAAACATGACAAGAAGTATAACCTTTGGTAGAATAACAAAAAGGTTTAACCTAGAATTAGTTTTTGGGAATTAACAAACTTATCTATGAAAATTAGACTTTTTAAAGGCATCTATTTTGTCATGGTCATGAGATAAAAAAATGTGTTTGAGTCTATAACATTCTCCCTGCGTTCACATTTGCAGCTTTTAATAACAACATTTTTAAACTAATATTTTTGAGTTGAAGATGCATAAGGAGAGAGGATTAACAATAGCTGAATAAACCCTCATTAATGTTTTGTCGTCTTTTCTCCTTTGAAAGAAGCTGTCTTTGCACTGTCTCTGTTTTTAGGGGTTGTTTTTGTCCAAGAGCTTAAAACTAAGGGTAAAAAATGAATTCCTTACAGCTATTTCACAAGCATGGTAAGACTAATTGTCTATTTAAAGCTTTCATTAATTTAAGCTCAGCTGTGCTTTGGAAAAAATGTCCTTTTAGATCAAAAACTGAAACACAGTAGGCAAATAAGACATTGTTTTATTGGTTTTTAGTGCAGCTGTCTCAAAGAAAAAAAAAACAGCAAAGGGTTCAAATCACAGCTGAGCCCTTTCTAGGAGGAGTTTTCATTTTTCCTTTAGAAATGCGTGACTATCTTCCACAATTTCTATATTCCAAACACATGCATGCTAAGTTAAATGGTGACTGTCAATGAAACCTAATTATTAGTGTGCTGACAGAGCCTTGCAGAAAGATTCATTTGTCTTCCCTTTTTCACATTTTGAAATATTCCAAACCACAAACCTAATTACATATTTTAAGGGTTTAACACTAAATACTGCATATTTGTTAAAAGCAATAGAAACCACATAGCGTTTTTTTTTCAAAGATTCTCTCAAATAGAACTCAGACAATAGATACGTGCATTGTAGCTCAGCCCTCTATGCTAAGTTGTTTGTTGAACCTTACATTTACAAGTCTATTAGAGTAAAGGGCTGGTTCTACTCCCTGCAGCAGTGTGTCACAGTGAGCTTGTTGCAGATATTTTTAATCTATGCCCTATAATGAAGAGTGGTCTGCGCTATGTTATTCCACACTACAACGCAAGAGGGACAATCACAAACTAGCTGTGGATCTAGATACTGCCGAGACGGAGAAGATGTGGGAGCAAGTTTGTGCGACAACGGAGGACCTCGCTCTTCTAACTGGTCCAACTTCCTGAGTCGTTTTCCACCATGGCGGTAATACAAACAAAACAAGCTGCTTAGGTAACAAACAGGAAATATGCATAATGTAGAGCGGATGTAGATTTGACCAATCAGAGTCCTCCTGTCTGCTAGCCTGACGTAGTCCGACTCAATTCTAGTCAGAATATGAGTCTGATACTGCTCCATAGAGCTGTGATTATGGGGCATGTTTCGAACGAACCAGGAAAAAAAATGCCTCTGCACTCCATTGGATAGACCTACAACCAATAAGAGCAACGGAGTGCGTGACGTATGTTAAGCCACGCATAGTTGTTGTCCACAAAAATCAAAGTGTGCAGTTGCACGCCTATAATAAGAAGATTAGACTTGATCGCGTTTCTCTGTTCCTCTTTTAAAATTAATTTGCTGTCGATATCTTCTAGAACAGACCTAATAGCAGAATCTACTCACCTCTCCAGCGGCAGCCATTATTGTTGTCACCCAAGCGCGCATTGGTCACGTGGTTGATTACGTTACTGTTGGTCATCTGTCCATCATCGTATAAAGCCCGCCCTGACAATTTGATTGGATCGCCTGACAGTGGGCTTTAATACTCGCGCTACTATGGAGCAGAGCCAGACCGAACTTCCCCGAACTCAAACCTTGTGGGCGGGACTAAGTTCGGAATGGCACCCAGGCTACCTGTCTGCGGCACTGTCTGTGGTCAACTACAAATTTGGAGAGGTGCAGCAGAGTGTCTGCGGCAGGGGCGGGGGCACATTTGTGTTCACTGCGACACACAAGCAGACAACCTGGTTTCTGAGTTTAAATCAGCCTCAAGTCTCAAAAAGCTTCCACATCCAGAATGTTGCCCGTTTCTCTTTACAAAATAATTCAAGTTCAGTCAGAGAGGATTTATGAAAACAGTTTTCAAAATTAGCCATAGTTTCCTAATTGGATTTAGAGCTGGAATTTGCCTGGGCCATTCTAAATGTCTCCATTATAGCTCTCGTTATGTATCTGGTAAACAGGGGTAGGGTTGGATTGACATTTGGGAACTTGGTTTTTCAGGGGCCTTTTATCTGATTGCATAATGACAAAAGTGGGGAGTTGATTTTAACATAAATTTATTTTCAGTATAAAAAGACACTTTTCAATAATCAACCTCTAAAGAATCTAGGGGTCCTCCCAAAGTTTGTGCTCAAGACAACATCTGAGAACAAACTAACTGGATCTAATTGAATAGGGAGTGGCGGCCTGGTGGTTAGGGCATAGAGCTTGGAATCCTGAGGTTCTGAGTTCAAACCCCACTCCCACAGACTACCACTCTGTGTCTCTGAGCAAGCCCCTTAACCCCACACTGCTCCCTGGGCTCCCAACAATGATTATATTTTTTAAATGGAAGGGATTCCTCTTTTTTACTGTTTTTTTCTCTGCGTTCTAATCTTTTTCTTTTGCATGTTTATTAAATTAGAAGGGTCTAATTGTTTCACTTTAGTATGCAAAATATAAGATAAAACAAGCCTGACAATGAACTCAGCGACCTATGGTGCAACCAAGAGGACATGCGGCCATACATCAACGCAGCTGCTTTATAAATTTATGTAATAAATTCTAACCACAGGACAGTTGGGCCTACAACATTCAGGAATTCTCTCAAAGGATCTCACCTTCTGGTAAAGGTCCTGCTGGTAGCCACAAATCAGGCTTAAATTGGAGTCAACAGGACTTTCACTCAGTGTTTTTGAAAACATTTCGACACCTATCCAGCAGTCTTTATCAGACCTGTCAGCTCGCATAACAACAACCTGTAGTTGGAGAGCTGATGTTTTTAAGCATGTGGAGACCCATCATCCTTAATAAAGTCCAAGTCAGAAGCAAATCATTTTCCTGGTTGGATAAAGTCTGTTGGACTTTGAATCATGATGAGACTGCTTGGTAACTTCTTTGGAAGGACAGAGTTGTAGATGCTTGGGAGCTTAAACCATAATCTTCCCCCTCTGGTCAGACCACTTTGCTCTTATAACATAGGTAGCTTCCTTTGCCCCACTTTTCAAAATCATTTGAAATCAATCACTTTGGTCTTTAAAGGTTGGTCCTTTGTTTTTCGGGTACAAGCATACAGACTAATGGTTTCTCCGGTGTAGGAGTCCAAGCAGTCCTTTGTGCTCAGCTTTAGTTCCAGTGTTCTGTCTTTGGGATCAACCAGTTTTTGTCTGAGTGTGGTTGGGTCCTGCTGGTAAATTAACATCCACCTCAGTCTTAGTTCTTGTCAAGCCTCTAGTTGGTTATTTTCTCAGATCACTCTGAGCACAGCTGAATTCATTTTTCATTTTGATTTCTCTTTTAGTTTTTGATATTAACTGAAATATTAAATGCAATCAACTCTAATCAGCTTCCGGTCCTTACTTTAGAAATCATTCCCACAGCATGATGCAACCACCACCATTTTTCTTTGTTGGTGAGGATAGTGATTTGAGGGTACGGTGAGAGTGTTTGATGCCACACGTATCCCATTACACGTAGATCTAGCATTACATTTTAATCTTATCTACAAAGGGCCCTTTCTTGATTATGGATTGCGACAAACTATAAATGGGACTTTTTAAAAATTGCTTTTCACCGTCCCTCATCCATAAAGGCGAGATTTGTACAGTAGAAGAACAAATGTGGTTTTGTGAACGGAATCTTCCTCCTAAGCTTTGGATCTCTGCAACTACTGTTGAGTTACCATAAGCTTCTTGAACAACAATCCTGGAAGGTTTATAGTCTCTTCAAACATGTTCCCTTTTCAGATGATGGATTAATCATTGCACTTTTAAAAGCTATCAGAACCCTGCTTTAAACGTTTCAACAGTTTTCTCCCTAACCTGTTTCCTGTGTTCCCTGATCTTCATGATGCTGTTTCTTCTTTAATGTTTCTCCTTTCCCATACTATTTACTATTTCATTGCTTTTAACTGGATTTCAGTTTAGGGTAGAGATGAAAGGATGCTGAAAACAAATTAATACCATACTATTTAGTTTTTTCTTAACAAAAAGAGTAAACATTGAATCCCATCCTCCAGTTAATGAAATCATTCACCATTTTCTTTTGCTCTATCACATACGTTAAGTAAAACAAATTACATGTTAGAGATGCTGGTACCTGTATTTTCCACATAATTTGCATTCTCCGGTTCTGAAGTCTTCACAATCAATGTGAGACTGCTGTCTGCTAACACATCCATCAATACGGCTCAGCGCTGCTCCACCTAAGCATCATCCTGACAGTCCCACCTGTTGGGAAAAAAAAGGCACAAAGACAGGAAGAAGCATGGTTATGAAGAGTATTTGGATAGATTAACTCACATGTGACTAATGCAGCAGTGCAGATATCAGAGCGAGAGTAAAAGACTAAAAAACAAATACCCAGATTGAGACGTCAAAAAGACCTTTGAGGCAGTGACAGCAGTGACTGTTTTTTTTTCTTTGTATGACAGATTCTAAGATTAATTCAAACTTTTCTAACCTACAAAGTACACAAAGATTCACAGCCAGAATCGCTATGGCAACTGTAAGCTATTTTAGCTTCATTTAACATTTATAGCTGAGTTGTTAACCTATGTGAGCCCCGCATAGGCATCTCTGAGTATATTTGTTTATTGTAATTAGCTGACTCCCTCCCTTAGCAGCAAAAGGAAAAGAAAAGGAGAGATTAAAGCACTGTGGCTGAGGAAGTGACAGAAGCTCTGAACACTGGCAATACTTTTTATTTGTAGCAGTTCCCACAAGTCAAAGTGTAGGTGGGAGTCATAGTGTGCATGCACAGCACATGTGTGTTGAGTGCGCAAGCCGGGTTAAGTCGATATGATACGAGTAAAGAAAACTGTAAAGAAGCAATTCTGGAAGAAAGAAAAGATACAGACTCCTAGGTAGTAAATGATGAACATATGATGTTATAGTTCCTTCCCTTTTTTGTGATGTTTTCTTTTTCTCGCCTCGCCGTCCCTTTCTTGAGCAGCAGTGCTGCCGGATGACAAATGAGCCGAGGGAGGGGATCTAATAACATGATCACCTTGTGGTGCGAAAGGGGAGGCTGGGAGATTAAGACAGACGGTACACAATAAGACAAAGGTAGTGCACAGCTGACTACAACCAAGTGCCATCTCTTTCATCCTCTTCTCTCTAAATGCCATTAGCTGTTTACTGACCTTAGTAGGAGAGCCACCTAAAGGGAAACCCTGCTTCAGCCTGCAGCTGCAAACACACCAACTCAGAGGGGTAATTACCTCATGAGCCATTGCATCTTCTCATGTTTTCAAAGTTACAAAGCCTTATAGGTGAGGCACTTAAGTATAAATATGCATTTCTGAAAAAGAAACAACTCTTGCAACTAGGTACATGATATTGTGAAAACATTGTTGAATATTGTAATGACGATATCAGCTGCAACTAAGCCGCATTTCACCTCCTCCATTTTTCACAACTGTCGTCATGTTTCTGTCGCTTTCTGTGAGCTGCTACAGTCACATTGACACAGTTAGAAACTTCTATCATAGGCAATCAAAGGTTGGAAAAGCCCATCCAACTGACTAAATATATTGTTAGGATGCACAGAGGGAATGCATTAGTAATCTAAAAACTGAACAAATATGTGAAACTGTGAATTTGCAGATTTTTAGACTGTGATTTAATTTCCTGTGCAGCTGTACCTGCAGTCCAATCAATAAGTAACGCCCATCCATAATACCAGAAGGTAAAGAGAAAATCAGCGGTTGCACAATTTAAACAAAGAAGAAAGGACAATTACGACTACATGCTGCTTTTCAACATTGAATAATTAAAACCAAAATAATTCTATTGTTTTTAATATTTCTCATTTTATATCAAGCATAATTCATGTTTTTATTTCACATGATGTTAACCCCAAAACACTTTTCTTAGACTTCTTAGACAAATTTTATTGTCATTATGTAAACACAGTGATGAAATGTAATCATCGGGAGCAAAAAACTTGGTGCAAATGTTATTTTTTCCTTTAAGGATGGCTGGTGGTGGATTTGATTTGTGCACAGCATGAAGTCGGATTTCAAGGTGGGCGAGTCACAGTCACTAAAAACCTTATGCTAATAGTCCAATATGGTTGCAGCAATTATAAAACAAGTAATAAATAAAGAAATTAAGTCTTAAAAATCTTTAGTCGAATTGATTACTGCAACAGTGTTTTCACAGGTCTGCCTAAAAAGTGGATCAGACAGCTGCAGCTGATCCAGAACGCTGCTGCCCGTGTCCTCACTAAGACTAAAAAAGTAGAGCACATCACCCCGGTTCTAAAGTCCTTACACTGGCTCCCTGTATCTCAGAGAATAGACTTTAAAATACTTCTGTTAGTCTATAAATCTCTGAATGGCTTAGAACCTAAATACATCACAGACTTGCTATCAGTGTATCAACCCTCCAGACCACTCAGGTCTTCTGTCTGCAGCCTGCTCTGCATACCTAGAACCAGAACTAAACATGGAGAAGCAGCATTTAGTTTCTATGCTCCACTTATCTGGAACAAACTTCCAGAAAACTGTAAAAGTGCGGAGAGCCTGAGTTCCTTTAAATCAAGACTAAAAATTTGTTATGTCTGTTTGTTTGTCATTTGTTTAGGATTGCATTCAACTGTTCTAGTTAAACAGTTCAACTAAAATATATTTTCTTTAGTCCAACTGTTTTTAATATTCTTTTTTGTTTCAGTATTTTTTATTTTATTTTTTTTCCTACTTGCTTTGATTCTGTTTTATCTTCCTGTATTTTAATCATGTAAAGCACTTTGCATTGTCTTTGTACTGAATTGTGCTATACAAATATATTTGCCTTGCCTTGCTTATCGACTGTATGCAAGAGGATACAGTCGATAGTGTCACACTCTATTTGTGATACCAGTTCTGTTTAACATACAGTATATGTCTAGCTGTGAGCTGGTCCATGCAATCATACTCTTTGTTGGGTGGTCCTTTAAAGCTGTAAGCTGTCACTGCTGCTGTTGCTCCCAGCATATTCAGCCCCTCCACCAGCCCAGCTGGGCCAGGCTTCAAGGTCAGAGACCCTTTCCACACTTCCTGACAAGAGGCAGGCATTTTCAGGGGAGAAGAGATCAAAACTCTACGACATGTCTGTGGACTGATAAGAACACAGCAAAGATGCTAATTTATAAAGATCTCTTTAAACATTGTCTAACATTTCAGGATCTTTGTACTGAGGCTCTGTTAATAGCTTATAAGCACTTAATATTCTGTGATAAACTATGTTGGCATCTTTTGTCTTATAAATCCACGTTGGCTGGCTGTGATGAGTCTGAAGCTGAGGCTTGGCAAGGAGGAAACTAGAACAAAGTGGACTTTCCCCGTCTTTAAACAACTCTAATTAAAAAAAACAAAACAAAACTAAACAGTTTATAAAAATGCTGTTTTATGAACCTTTAGCTGACATACTGTTTGATTCTAGCGTTTATTTACAGAGGATGAGGATTTTTTTTTTGCTGGGTAAATCGAGTCAGGAGGCTGCATGCCATCAATAATCTTCCTGTCAGAAACACATGCTGAGAATAAAACACACAGAGCTTTTCTTGACAAGGAGCAACTTTTTGATATGAAAGCAAAGGAAAATAAATGCTGTTTTGTTGTTTTTATTCTGTCTTACTTTTACATCAAACAGTCATTCTGATTGTTTCTTCATGTTCAACACAAGGAGAACATTAGTTATATACTTCTTCCTGCTTCCACATCCTGTTTATATAGTTGTCATTATTTTTTAGACTACCTGCTCAATATAAGTGTATCAACATTAGGGGTGGGTATCGGCAAAGAAGTCATGATTCGATTCGAATCACGATTCACATGCCATGATGCGATTCTATCACGATGCATCATGATACTTGAAATATTGCGATGCATTGCGATATTTTCACTGAACACTGTAAGAAAAAGATACAGCCCTTACCAGTGGCTGACTGGCTGGCTATGATCTGGATAGTGTCTTCAATTGATACATAACTGAAAGCAACTAAATTCATACATAGATGTATTTATTGAAATGGCTTTTGGAGGTGTTGCCATGAAAACAAGTACAGGACAGAAATATTACTATTACTGGCGTGGACACACTGACAAAAATATCTTAGGATTCATCAAACTTAAAATAACAAAATAAGGATAATCAGTGCAGTTTACATGGCCTCAGTGGTCCTTTAAACCAATAAAATCAAAACATTCAAATGTATGACATTTCCCCTTTTGCAAATTACGTGCATCATATCAATTTCGTTTTACCTTCTTTGTTTTTAAAGCCAAAATGCATCCAAGCATCTGACTTGAAATGTGATGGAGCTGCGGGGTGAATTTTCATAGTGTCCTCCATGTTTTATTTCATATGACTCTGCATATGACATATCATATGACATCTGCAGCGACATCTGCTGGACTGGAAGTTGTATTCCACTTGATTTTGCTGATGTGCGCCAACCATTAATGTATTTTATTTGTTCATTTTTTTTTCTTTTTTTAATAATCGATTCTTGCCTTCAAGAATCGATGCAGTAGTTCACAAAAATTAGAATCGTGATGCATCGTCATGACGATTATTTTGCACACCCTTAATCAACATTAGCTTTAACCTCTTTGAACGACTAATCAGAATACAAAATGCAAATTTACTTAAAGGTATAGAAACCAATCTTTCATTTCTGGGTGGATCATCTAAATAAGTGGTCCTCCAAATTGTCAATCATTCCAGTGATATAAGGCTTTCCTACATGCCCGTCCCGTAGCTATCTTTTTATGCGCATGCGCACTTTCAGGCAGGGAGCTACGGTTTCAGAAAGTCACCTTTCTTACCTCGGTTATTTGAAAATGGCAGAGGGTCGTGAAAGAAAAAGTGTCTACGAGGTGTAGGAGAAGAAAAGAAAGGCCTCAGAAGAGGCAGATATATCCCGGAATTCTTTGTGCCGAGAGCTCTCCACACAAAGCATTATAGGATTTGCTGTTACAGCGACACTCCATGGGCTGTCACTACCCGACAGCGGCGACTACTAACAAAGATGGCGAGGGCACCGCACGGTGGAGGAGGAGTTACATGACCAACGGGGCAAAAAGAACTGAGGATCTGTCTGAACCGTCAGAGTTTTCTATGAAGTCCACTATATAGTCCCCGCTGTATGTATACGAGGAGAAATGGGCTTGTGCATGCTTTTGTACACACATTTTTTCTACAGTGGATGGGCGGGTCTTATAAAAAATCCTCCACAATACCTT